GTTGAAAATTTTGCTCTCGAAATTCAACCATTCGTTTGAGCTCTAGTATTTTTTCCCACCATATTCGATCTTATTCCCGCTCGCCATCTTGATCTCAGCTCGATCGGCTACCTTTTGCTGCCAAAAAGCGTTGCGGCGGGATCGGCCGTTTCGAGTCATCTTGACACGCGTTGACGGTTTTTTTTACTTAACTCGAGCTGTAGAGCAGCTACAGAGCTGATACTTACAGAAACCGATTCAGAATCATCAGGCGCGTTCGTTAGTTGCATCTAGAGATCTGAACTCGGTCTGCCGCCCGAGCTAGGTCCGCGAAACTATTTGATTATCCGAGTCATCTCGACAGGTGCTGTCGGTTTTCTGTACTTAACTCGGGCTGTAGAAGAGCTACAGAGCTGGTATTCACAGAAACCTATTCATAATCATCAGGCGCGTCTGTCTCTAGCATCTAGGGGTCTGAACTCGGTCTACTACTCGAGCTAGGTCGCGAAAATATTCGCATGCTACGAATTTTATTGGCGGATACTGTCGATTTTGCGCTATTTAATTCGAGCTGTGGAGGAGCTACAGAGCTGATACGCATACGTAGCCGATTCGGAATCATCAGGCGCGTTCGTCAGGTACATCTAGAGGTCTGAACTCGGTCTGCTACTCGAGCTAGGTCCGCGAAACTATTAGTATTCTTCGAGTCATCTTGACAGGTGCTGTCGGTTTTCAGTACTTAATTCGGGCTGTAGTAATGCTTTAGAGCTGGTATTCACAGAAACCGATTTAGAATCATCAGACGCGCTTGTCTGTTGCATCGAGAGGTCTGAACTAGGTCTGCTACTCGAGCCAGGTCCGCGAAACCATTTGTATTCTTCGAGTTCTCTAAACAGGCGCTGTCGGTGTTCTGTACTTAACTCGAGCTTTAGCATAGCTACAGAGCTTGTACGCACACATAATCGATTCAGAATCACAGGCGCGTTCGTCTGAACTGAACTCAGTCTGCGACTCGAGCTAGGTCGCAAAACTGTTCGTATTGGACAGATTTTTCTTCGAAATGACGGTGAATTTCTTCACCTAACTTGAGAACTCTTTGGCACATAAATGAGATGGAAATCATGAGGCGCCGCTTGGCTGGATCTGTTCAGCACAACAATGGGAAGGGAATTATCAGCGGCAATAGCCTGAGATCAGTCTGCTATCAGCGCTCCGACTGAAAATATTCGTCCCCTGCTATTTCTGTGGACATAATATATGGAAAGGAAGCTCTACGAGTCTCCCGGCGGTAAGAAAGGTTGACGGTTTACCGCCGGCGCCCAGTTCCGATGGGAAAACGTATATTTTCAGCATGCCCGCCTTGTGTGCTCCTCAGCGGCCCAGGACATGCCAAGAGGCCTCCCAAATCGCCCCAAGAAGACGCCAGCGGCCCCTAAGAGGGTTCCAAGACGGCCCACAAGACGGCCCCAAGAGGGCTCCCAGGGGGCCCCAAGAGGCTCCCAAGACGGCCTCAGGCAGCCTCAAGGCAGCTCCAAGACGGTCCAAGGCCTCTGGACGCCCCGTCACGGCCCAAAAAGGCCCCAAAACGCTCCCAGAGCAGCCCAAAAACGTGTCAGAATGGCCCGAAAAAGACCCCCACAAGGACCACCAAGCAGGCCCAGAGACGCCCACTAACAGAGCGATCGGTGAAGTACAACGCTCTTCACACCAAGGCTCCCAAGAGCGAGACGCAGCGTAGAGAGCTCTCCCAGGCACAGCTCCCAAGAGCGAGCGGTGACGTCGGGACACCCTTCCGACCTCTCACACAGGAGCACGCACGCACAGCACGCAAGCACAATAGATTTCCTGGGCTGTCCCCCGGAAGAGGCTCGGGGGGACAGCCCGGGAACGGCCCCAGAGGCGCCCCAAAAAACTTCAAGAGACAAGGCCCCCAGGAGGCCGCAAGACGGCCCAAGAGGGCCCCAAGAGGCCCCTAGGTGGCCGCAAGACAGCCAACGAGGCCCCAGCAGGCCCCCAGGAACTCGAAAAGAAACCCCGAGAGGCCCACTAATCGTTCCCAAGGAGACGGCAGCGCCCGCCATCAGGCTTCGAAGAGGCAGCCGGAAAAAAGTCACCCGAGCCCTCCGGGTGATTTTTTCAAGGCAACAGGTGCTTTCAACATTGACGAGCGGCGAGACGTACACCGCAGACCCACCATAGCCGTCTGTGACACTCCGAAGGCTGTCTAGGCGGAGGTAGAGCGGAAGGCGGACGAAGAGAAGGAAGCGGTCCAAGAGGGCCTCCGAGACGGCCCAAGACTGCTCGAAGACGCTCCAGACGAGCCGCGGCAAACGAAGTCATTGATTCTTCTATGGCTTCTGACAGATTTCCACCTTATCGCCATTTCGAGCGAAGACAAATCCAAAACGGCCTTTTCGAGCCAAGACTGGCCCAAGACGACGTGGACGAAGTCCACGGGTTCGTCCTAGTCCTAGTCTTCTCTACAATGCAGGGACCCGTGCGTGCGGGAAGGGCCCCTGTCTTGATGGAGTGAAAATGCCCCACAACGGCTCCGGGGACGCCCCAGAGGCGCTCACGCGGCCCCAGAGGCGCCCAGGACGGCCCCAGAGGGCCCCAGACACCCCCAAAACGGCCCAAGAGCGCTCCAACAGAGCTCCAGACCGCCGAAAACGGCCCCGACAAGGCCCAGGAGGCCTCCACGACGGCCCCAGAGACGCTCAAGAGGCGTCCCAGGATGGCCCCCACAGGCCCAAATCATTGTTTTTCCAACGAAACACGTCCAATTTTAGCATACACTGCTTGTCGGGAGTATGGCGCAGAAGATGGGACAAGAGGCCCCCACGACCGCCCCAAGACGGCCCAAGAGGCCCCCCAGAGGCACGAAAACTGGCCCGCGAGAGCGTCCAGAGACCCAAGAGGCGCCCAACACGGCCCCCAGGCGGCTCCAAGAGGCTCCCGCCCAGGACGGCCCCACACACCCCCAAGACGGCCCAAGAGCGCTCCAAGAGAGCCCAAGACTGCCGAAAACACACCCAAGACGGCCCAGGAGGCCTCCACGACGGCCCCAGAGACGCCCAAGAGGCGTCCAAGGATGGCCCCCAGAGGCGAAAATCATTGTTTTCCAGAAGAAAAGCGTTCAATTTTAGCATGCGCTGCTTGTCGGGAATATAGCGCAGAAGCTGGTTCAAGGTCCCCACGACCGCCCCAAGACGGCCCAAGAGGCCCCCTTAGGCACGAAAACCGGCCCGAGAGGGCGTCAAGAGAGCCCAAGAGGCGCCCAAAACGGCCCCAGGCCGACACCAAGAGGCTCCCAGGACGGCCCAAGGTATCCCCAAGACGCTCCAAGAGCGCTCCACGACAAGCCAAGACTGCCTTTTGCGGCGCCAAGACGGCCCAAGACGCCTCTACGACGGACCAAGAGACGCCGAAGAGGCTTCCCAGGAGGGCCCCAGGAGGCCACAATTATCGCTTTCCCGAGGGGCCCAAGAGGCCAACATCGTCCCATTCCTGACGGGAAACGCACATTTTCACTGTATCTTGTTTCTTCGTCCTCGCAGCGTCCAAGACGGCTGCACAGGCCCCCTTGCTCCTCCCAAGACCAGCGGCCCCAGGAGGGCCCCAAAACAGCTCCACACGGCCCCCGGACGGCTCCAGAGGCGCCCGAGACGGCCCAAGACGCACCCAAGACAGCCCCAAGAGCAGTCACTAATGGCCCACGGGACGGCTCCGAGAGGCTCCAGGGGGCGCCAAGACGGCCTCAGGGCACCCCTGGGAGCCCCAAGACAGCCCCAGAGGCCCCCAAGGCAGGCCAGGAGATCCCCAAGATGGCTCAGGAGGGCCTCCAGAAGGAGCCCAAAGGCCGAAATCGTCCCATTCCCTACCAGAATCGCGCCAAGACGCGCTCAGAGGCCCTCAGGAGGGCCCCCAAACGGCCACTCACGGCCCCGGGACGGCTCCAGAGACGCCCGACAGGGCCCAAGACGCACCCAAGACAGCACCAAGAGCAGTTCATAATGGCCCATGACGGTCCCACCGCCCCGTCTCCAAGACGGTTGTACAATCCCCCACCGCCCCGTCCCCAAGCCGTTCCATCTGCACAGTCTCCAAGACGGTTGTACAGGCCCTCAGATCGCCCAAGACGCTCCCAGACGCCGCCAGGAGGATTTCAAAACGGCCCGAGACGGCCCCGGGACGGCTCCAGAGGCGCCCGAGACGGCAAGGCAGCCCCAATAGCGCCCAATGTCGGCCCAAGATGAGCCCAAGACGGCCCCAAGATGGTCCGAGAGGCGCCCGAGACGGCCCCACATCGCCACAAGACGGCCCAAGAGGCACTCAAGACGGCCCGAAAGGGCCCCGAGAGACCCCCAGGAGGCAAAACAATTGCCCCCAAACGGCCCCCAAGAGGCTTTGGATCCTTCTTACCCAGCGTCGTCTTTGGGGCTTCTTGGACCCTCTGTGAGCCATTTCCGCGCCTTTGGGCGACGTCTTGGGGCGGTGCGCTCGAAATGTCGATTCGTGTCCTCGCACTGGGGCCCGTCTTCGGGAGTTCATGGGGCCCTTTGGGGCCTTCTGGGAAGCCTCTTGGTCCGTCCTGGAGACCTTTTCGGCCGTCTCGCCGCCCTCTTGCGGGCCTCTTAGGCCGCGCCCACCGGCCCCATTGTCACCACACTACCAGATAAAATTATTGTTCGGCCCCGGCGAAGAGCTCATAAAATTATCACGGCTACCCTCCCCGCAGAAGTTATGATGAACACAGACTGGGGCGTGAGAAACAGCTTCTGTCCACACCATGTCATGCCTACATGGGTGCGCTTCCACTGACACCGCCTCCACCACCGCGTTCCTGCCTTCATGTCTGCTGGCCTGCATCCCCTCACCTCCTCCTCCAGCGGCCACCTCCTCCATCCACGCCGTACCCTCCACCCCCCCCTCACCTGTCAGGCCCGGGAGACGCTCCACTTCCACGTCCACGCCATGGCGGGCAGATTCCGCGGCCGGAAGGCCGCGGGTCAGCCCTAGTCGGCTACAACGCTGGGATCAGCGCGTGCGAGAAGGGCCTGCAGTGGCAGCGGGCTCTGGCCCTGCTCGGCGAGATGTGGGAGGCGAAGCTGGTGCCCGACGCCATCGGCTGCAACGCTGGGATCAGTGCGTGCGAGAAGGGCGGTCAGTGGCAGCGGGCTGTGGTCCTGTTCAGCAAGATGCGGGAGGCGAAGCTGGAGCCCAACACCATCAGCTACAATGCTGGCATCAGCGCGTGCGAGAAGGGGTTGCAGTGGCAGCGGGCTCTGGCGCTGCTAAGCGAGATGCGGCAGAAGATGTTGGTGTCCAGCGCCATCAGCTATAACGCTGGGATCAGCGCGTGCCAGAAAGGTGAGCAATGGCAACGGGCCCTGGCGCTGCTCAGCGAGATCCGGGAAGAGAACATGGAGCCAGATGCCATCAGTTGCAACGCTGTGGTCAGCGCGTGCGAGAAAAGTGGGCAGTGGCAACGAGCATTATTCTTGCTCAGAAACATGTGCGAGGAGATGTTGAAACCCGACCTCGTCAGCTGCAGCGCTGGGATCAGCGCGTGCGATAAAGGCGGGCAGTGGCAGCGAGCATTTTCATTGTTAAGCGAGGTGCGGGAGGTGACGTTGGAGCCCGACGCCATCAGCTACGCCGCTGGGATCAGCGCGTGTGATAAAAGCGGGCTCTGGCAGCAAATACTGCTACTGCTCAGCAAGATGAGGGAGGCGACCCTGGAGCCCGCCGCAATCGTCTTCAGCGCTGGGATCAACGCGTGCGACAGAAGCGGGCAGTGGCAGCAGGCAGCGTGGTTGCTTGGCGAGTCTTGGAAGGGGCTCTTGGGGACTTAGCGTTCTATCAGCAGTGGTTCCTGTTCCTCCGCCGCGCGGACAATGACAGCATTCATTCGGCGGAGAGCCTGGGGGGGAAGTGAGAAGGGGCGGGCCTTTTCAGAAGGCTCAGAAGCCCCCTTGGCCTTCGGAGAAGTTTTCGAAGCCTTCCCCGAAGACGCCAAAGACTTGTCAGAAGGCGCGAGGGCTTCGGAGAAATCCCGCCGCCTTCCGAGAACGCCTTCTCCTTCTTACTTCCCCCCCTCGCTCGCCGCCGACTCGCGACCTTTCTTCAGCATGCGTTCGGGGTGTCGAATGCTGCGGGTCTGGACTGCCATCGCCGGCGGCGCCGCGTGCGGCAGGGGGGGGGGTCCGATGGCCCAAAGGCGTGCCGGCCGGCTCTGCCGCGCTCCCAGGAGGAGGAGGAGGAGGAGGAGGAGGAGGAGGAGGAGGAGGAGGATCGGAGGATCGGAGGATCGGAGGAGGAGGAGGAGGAGGGAGGAGGAGGGGGAGGAGGATGGAGGAGGAGGAGGAGGAGGAGGGGAGGAGGAGGAGGAGGGAGGAGGAGGAGGAGGAGGAGGAGGAGGAGGAGGAGGAGGAGGAGGAGGAGGGGGAGGAGGACGAGGAGGAGGAGGAGGAGGAGGAGGAGGAGGAGGAGGAGGAGGAGGAGGAGGAGGAGGAGGAGGAGGGGCGGCTCCCAGGACCCCCCTCAGGCCGCCTCCAGAGGGCCGCAGGGTGACCCCGAGACGGCGCACGGCGGCCCCAGGGAGGCCTCGGGGGAGGCGCCCAGGGCCGCAGACGAGGCCTCCAAGACGCCCCCAGAGGCCTCGACGAAGGCCTCCCAGAGGGCCCCACGAAGCAAGCTCGTCCTGATCCTTCCGAGCCCAAAAAACAGGCACTCGTCGCAATTCGCGCTTCTCGTTCCCACAGCGCCCACGACGGCTCTACTACCTTCGAAGCTTGCCCGAAAACGGCCCCGAAGGCCTCCAAAGAGGGCCCCGAGACGCCTCAGGACGGCTCCAAGACGGCTTATTCATAGAGGGCGCCCAAGATGGCCCAAAAGAATCCCCGGGGTCTCGAAGAGCGGCCCAAGATTGCCCCATGCGGCCCCGAAACGGCCCGAGATGTTTGCTTCGAGGGGCCTCGGGACGCCCCGGCTTGTCGCACTGCCCAGGGGAGCACCCGAGATCGACCCAGGACGGCCCAGCAGGCCCCAGAGGGGCCCCAAGACGGTCCGGCAGAGCTCTCACGGACCAGGAGGCCACCAGAGTGGCACCCGAGACCGGCCCAAACGGCGGCCCAGGGCGCTCCGCGAACGTCCCCGGACGACCCCCCTGGGAGGCCCCATGGGAGCCGAAGAAGTCCCAGAGGAGGAGGAGGAGGAGGAGGAGGAGGAGGAGGAGGAGGAGGAGGAGGAGGAGGAGGAGGAGGAGGAAGGGAGGAGGAGGAGGAGGAGGAGGAGGAGGATCGGAGGAGGAGGGAGGAGGGAGGTGGAGGAGGAGGAGGAGGAGGAGGAGGAGGAGGACGAGGGGAGGCCCCAGAGAAGCCCCAGGAGACCTCCGGGAGACCCCCGAGAGGCCTCCCGAGAAGCCTCCCCCCTTCAAGAGGCCCAGGGAGACCCCAGTAAAGGTCCCTCCCGCCTCCCGCCGCCTCCCTCCTCGGCTCTCCCTCCTCCCCCCTCGCCCCTCTGTCCCTCGGCCGGCGCTCCGCCCCTCTCGCTCTTCGCAGGCCGAGCACCGCTTCTCTGGAGGAGGAGGAGGAGGAGGAGGAGGAGGAGGAGGAGGAGGGAGGAGGAGGAGGGAGGAGGAGGGAGGAGGAGGAGGGAGGAGGGAGGAGGGAGGAGGGAGGAGGGGAGGAGGGAGGAGGGAGGAGGGAGGAGGGAGGAGGGGCCTCTCCTGGCAGCAAGCTTCGCCAGCATGCTTAGATTGCTGGCGAGCTTCGCCAGCGAGCTCAAACTGTTGTGTCGCAGTCTTCTCCTTGGCGTCTCGCGAGTTTCGCGAGAAGTGCCACCATGAAGCATCAAGCAGCAGCAGCGAGCGGCAGCAGCGCGTGGCCCGAAGAGGGCAGCAGCAACAGCGGCAGCATACGGCAACAGCAAGCAGCAGCAGGCGGCGGGCAGTAGCACGCGGCAAAGAGAACTGACCACAGCAGCAGCTCCCTGCAACCACAAGCGGCAGCAACACGCACAGCGGCAACCATTGCCAGCGTCACGCAGCAGCAGCAGGAAGCAGCAGCACGCCCCAGACGTGGCTGCGCGGCGGCCCAGAATCGGCCCGCCGATTTGGGGCCGGGGGGCTGGTGGCCCAGAATCGCCCCGGCCGACCCCAGAAGCGCGTGCGGCCGCCCAGGGCGCGCCGGGCGGGATTCTGGGCCGGCGGCGCGGCGGCCCGGCGTCGGTCCCGCCGATTCTGGGCTGGCGGGCTGCTGGCCCAGAAGCGGGCAGGCCCGCCCTGGAGGCGCGAGAACTGGCAGACGGGCGGCCAGTGCCACGGGGCGCTCCCGCTGCTCCGCGAGAGGTGGCAAGGGAGCATGGCGCCCAACTTTCGAACGTGTGCCTGGTGGCACTGCCTATGCCACCCGCAGTGTGGACGTCGTCCACGGGTCAGCCCCAGTCTCTCCTGCAACGGCTGGCCCGGCGCTCGTGGAGGTGCCGATCGGCGGCAGTGGAGCGGCCCCCTTCTGGCCTCCTGGGGCCCTGGTCCGTCGCCAGCGCCCCCAGAACGGTCTTGGTCCGTCGCCGGCGCTCCCCGAACGGCCCTCGCCCGCTCGTGACGGATCCACGAGAGTCCCGAGCGAGCCCCGAACCGGCCCCCCCAGGGCCCCTGAAGGGCCCGAGTCAGGGGGCAAAAAACATTGATTTTCCATTGGTTTTTGATGATTTTTCTGGTTCGGGCTTTTTCGAGCCAGAACGGCTCCAAAGGCGCCGCGAATCGTTTCAAGACCGCCAATACGGCCCCCAAGAGGGACTTAGAACGGCCCAAGAGTGCCCCAAGATTGCCCGAAACGGCCCCAAGCCGGCCCAAGAGGGCCCCGAGAGGCCCCCGAGACCCACCATGAGGCCCCCAAGAAGGCCCCAGGACGGCCCAAGAGTTCACAAGACTGCCCAAGACGGCCCCAAGCCGGCCCAAGACGGCCCCCCCGAGACCCACCATGAGGCCCCCAAGAAGGCCCCAGGACGGCCCAATAGTGCCCTAAGACTGCCCAAGCCGGCCCAAGACGGCCCCAAGAGGCCCCCGAGACCCCCCAGGGAATCCCAAAAGGACCCCCGCAGGCTTTGAATGCTTCCACATGGGCCCGTCCATGACATCGCCGCACATACCTCCGAAACCCAATGTTTTCTCCGTGTGTCCTTGCGAATCGGCCCAAATCCATTAGGAAAGTGCACATTTCGCTGCTGGCGCCGCCCCGACCACATCGTCGAAAGCACCATGCAAATACGACAGGTTCGGGCAATTTTCGAAAACACCATGCGTTTCAGGCGATTGCAAGGGACACACGGGAAAGTGCACCGTGAATCCAACGATGTTTTTTTCGGGCCGCAGGTTCCCTGGGACCCTCTCCATCGATCCCCCTTCATTGCCAGACTCCGCGGCCAGCACGCGCTGCCGGGGAACCTTGTCCGAACCCTGATGGACATCGATGCCCCACCGACGCGTTTCTTTCGGATTTCTACTCCTACCTCCGTCTCTTTAAAGACGATCACAAGACTTCCTTACAATGAGTAGCGGCTCCCAGTCTCGGTGTGCGCGATCGAGGTTCAGCACACCATGGATTTAATCTACAGGTACACCCTAGTCTCCTACAGCGCTGGGATCAGCGCGTGCGAGAAGGGCAAGCAGTGGCAGCGGGCCATGGCGCTGCTGAGCGACATGCGGGAGGCGAATATGGAACCCAACGTCACCATGTCCTACAGCGCTGGGACCAGCGCGTGCGAGAAGGGCGAGCAGTGGCAGCGGGCGCTGGCGCTGATGAGCGAGATGCGGGAGGCCAAGCTGGAGGCTGGCGTCATCTCTCCTACATGGCCAGTGGAAGCGCGTGCGAGAATTGCTCAGGGCCTCGTGTGCACAAAATCGCCCCTTTACGGCGCCACCACGGGGCCGAATCGCTCAGGCCAGTCCCAGAGGCGCTCCAGAGGGGTTCCCAGACCGTCCAAGAGCGCTCCAAGACGGCCTCAGTGGGTCCCGAGTCGGCCCGCGAGGGCCCGAAGCCTTTCGCGGGGGGGGGCTCCACGACCATCCAAGAGGCGGCAAAGACGCCCCAAGAGGGTCCCGAGCGCACGCCAAAGAGGCACAAATCGTCAAATGGGAAAACGTGTATGTTCAGCATGCCCGCCTTGTGTGCTCCTCAGCGGCCCAGGACACGCCAAGAGGCCTCCCAGATCGCCCCAAGAAGACGCCAGCGGCCCCTCAGAGGGCTCCAAGACGGCCCACAAGAGCCCCAAGACAACGTCAGAGAGCCCTGAAACGGCCTCACAGAGCAGAACCCCAAGGCGGCCCCAAGAGAGCTCCGAGGGGGCCCCAAGAGGCTCCCAAGACGGCCTCAGGCAGCCTCAAAAGAGCTCCAAGACGGTCCAAGGCCTCCCGGACGCCCCGTGACGGCCCAAGAAGGCCCCAAAACGTCCCAAAACGCTCCCAGAGCAGCCCAAAAAAACTTCAGAATGGCCCGAACAAGACCCCCACAAGGACCACCAAGCAGGCCCAGGGACGCCCACTAAAAGAGCGATCGGTGAAGTAAAGCTCTTCTCACCAAGGCTCCCAAGAGCGAGACGCAGCGTAGAGAGCTCTCCCAGACATAGCTCCCAAGAGCGAGCGGTGACGTCGGTCTGACCTCTCACACAGGAGCACGCACGCACAGCACGCAAGCACAATCGATGTCCTGGGCTGTCCCCCGGAAGTCGGGGGGGCAGCCAGGGAACGGCCCAAGAGGCGCCCCAAAAAACTACAAGAGAAAAGGCCCCCAGGAGGCCGCAAGACGGCCCAAGAGGGCCCCAAGAGGCCCCTAGGAGGCCGCAACATAGCCAACGCGGCCCCAACAGGCCCCCAGGAGCTCGAAAAGAAACCGCGAGGGGCCCACTAGCCGTTCCCAAGGAGACGGCAGCGCCCACCATCAGGCTTCGAAGAGGCAGGCGGGAAAAAGTCACCAGAGCCCTCCGGGTGACTTTTTTCAAGGCCCCAGGTGCTTTCAAAATTGACAAGCGGCGAGACGTACACCGCAGACCTACCATAGCCGTCTGTGACGCTCTGAAGGCTGTCTAGGCGGAGGTACATCGGAAGGCGGACGAAGAGAAGGAAACGGTCCAAGAGGGCCTCCGAGAAGGCCCAAGACCGCTCGAAGACGCTCCAGACGAGCCGCGGCAAACGAAATCATTGATTCTTCTATGGTTTCTGACAGATTTCCACCTTCTCGCCATTTCGAGCGAAGACAAGCCCAAAACGGCTTTTTCGAGCCAAGACTGGCCCAAGATGACGTGGACGAAGTCCATTGGTTCGCCCTAGTCAGCTGCAGCGCTGGGATCACCGCGTGCGAGAAGGGCGAGCAGTGGCAGCGGGCCCTGGCGCTGCTGAGCGAGATGCCAGGCGCGAAACTGGAGCCCGACGTCTTCAGGTACACCGCTGGGATCAGCGCATGCGAGAAGGACGAGCAGTAGCCGCGGGCCCTGGCCGTGCTGAGCGAAATGCGGGAGGCGAAGCTGGAGCCCGACGTCATCTCTCTTATAATGCAGCGTTCACCGCTCGCCAAAGCCTCGAGCAGTGGCAGCGGACCGGCCCCCTCCCGCGGCCACCAGCGCGGCCCCGGGGCCCCAGCGCGCTTCCAAGATGGCTTTAGAGCGCTCCGAGCCGCCCCCAGAGGCCCCCAAGAGGGCCCGACGACGGCCGAAGACGGTCCAAGAGGGCCTCCCGGGCCCCGAGCGCTCGAAAACGCCCAAGACAGCCGCCCGACGGCCCAAGAGGCCTCCAAAAGTGCTCCAAGTGGGCTCCAGAGAGAGAGCCCCAGGAGAGCCCGAACAAGAACAAATCGCCCCAATCTCTAGGCCAAGACGGCCACACAGGCCATCAAGATCGCCTCCAGGAGGCTACAAGGAAGGCCCCAAGACGGCTCAAAACTGCGCCAGGATGGCTACTCAGGCGCCCATGGCGGCCCCAAGAGGGGGCCAGGACAGGGTGGGAGCGCTCCCGAGGGGCCCCAAGAGGGCCCGACAAGGCCCCATGACGCATGTACTTGGGTGCCCCTCTCGCTAGCCCAAGAAGCATATCAAGTGCATGCGGTTTGAGGCCCTCTTGGGGCCCCATGGGGGGGCTCTTGCGGCCCTCTTGAGGCCTTCGGGCCCCTCCAAGACAGGGCCAGGTGCATTCTGCCACAGAAAGACTTCTCGTGGCAGAGTGGTGGGCCCGCGCCCGGCGCGTCATGGGGCCCTCTTGGAGCCCTCTGGTGGCCCTCTTCGTGCCCTCCGGCACGACGGCCCGAAGACGGTCCCGACATGGCTCCAGAGGCGCCCAAGACGGCCCCAAACAGCCGCGCGGTCACGCGGCCCGCGGCCCCAGCGAGGACCCTCCATCTGGCATGTGGTTGTCGCACCCATGGTTCGGCAACCCCCGCCGCCAGTGGCAGCAAGCCAAGCACGGGTACACACTAGTCAGCTACAGGGTTGGAACCAGCGCGTGCGCGAAGGACGAGCAGTGGCAGAGGGCCCTGGCACTGCTGAGCGAGATGCGGGCGGCGAATCTGGAGCCCAACGCAGCCAGCTACAGCCTTGCGATCAGCGCTCTGCTACGGAGAGACGATATGACAGGCTAGTCAGCTACAACGCTGGGCATCAGCGCGTGAGTGAAAGGTGGGCAGTGGCAGCGGGATCTGGCGCTGTTAAGCGAGATGTGGGAGGCGGTGTTGGGATTCGGACTGTTTCAGAACTATAGCGCTGGGATCAGCGGGTGCAAGAAAGGACGAGCAGTGGCAGCCATCGCTTGCGCTGCTCAGAGAGATGTGGGAGGCGGCGCTGGAGCCCAATGCCATCACCCACTGCAGCGCTGGGGCCAGCGCGTGCGAGAAGGGCAATCCATGGCAGCAGGCCCTGTTGCTGCTCAGCGAGACGCGGGAGGTGAAGTCGGAACCCGACGTCATCAGTTACAGCACTGGGATCAGGGCGTACGATGAGGGCGATCAGTGGCAGCGTAGTTTGGCGCTGCTCGGCCAGATGCGCGAGGTTATGTTGGAGCCCAGCGTCATTTTCCTAGAAAGGGCGTGGGCCCTGGGTTCCCTTTTAGCTGTTTACCCCCGGAATCAACTTGAAGAGGGCTAGCGGAATTATTCTGCGATAGCCGAAGAGGGTTGGCGGAATTATTTGTGAGGATGTCCCAAGCGAAACGTTGGTTTCCAGAATTTGTTGAAGATGTCCCGAGCGAAACGCTTGTTGTGTGTTCTAGGTTGTTCCTCTCCTGGGGACCAGGACTCAGAGGATGTCTCAGGTGAAATGCTTGTTTTCACGTGCCCAGATCTTGAGGATATCTCGAGCGAGACGTTTGGTTTCACGCGTCCAGGTTGCCTAGGCAGATGTCTAGCATGAGGATTTGTTGAGGAATGGCACATCGCAATTCAGCACGGCGCAGCACAGAACAGCACAGCACGTCCCCTGGCACGTCGCCTGGCGTGTCCCTTGGGACGTTCCGATTTGTTGAGGAATGGCACATCGCAATTGAGCACGGCGCAGCGCAGCACAGCCCTTGGCACGGTACATCAAGATCGATACATTCAGCATTGCAACCTGGCGTGTTCCTTGGCACGTTCCGTGGCTCCGTGGCGCGTCCCGTGGCAAGTCCTTTGGCACGACGCGCGGCTGGCACGTCGCCTGGCGCGTCCCGTGGGACGTTCCGATGTGTTGAGGAACAGCGCATGGCAATTCAGCACGGCGCAGCGCAACACAGCCCTTGGAACGGTACATCGCAACCTGGCGCGTTCCTTGGCACGTTCCGTGGCGCGTCCCGTGGCGAGTTCCCCTGGCACGTCGCGCGGCGCGTCCCCTGGTACGTCCTGTGGCACGTCCATTGGCACGTTCCGTAGCGCGTACCCTTGGCACGTCCCGCGGTGCGTCCCCATGGCACGTCCCCTGGCACGTCGCCTGGCGCGTCCCTTGGGACGTTGCGCGGCGCGTCCTCCTGGCATGTCCCCCTGTCGATTAGCTCTGGGGCAGCTACTATGTGCTCGAGCACCTCGAGCTTAAGATCCAAATCAGTTCGGTCAGGAGACGGATGCAACGGAGGACTCGATCCACAACGCTATAGAGCACAATCGCGGCATGGCACATCGCAATTCAGCACGGCGCAGCACAGCACAGCCCTCGGCATGGTACATCAAGATCGGTACACTCAGCATTGCAACCTGGCACGTTCCCTGGCACGCTCCGTGGCGCGTTCCGTGGCGAGTCCCCCTGGCACGTCGCGCGGCGCGTCCCCTGGTACGTCCTGTGGCACGTCCATTGGCACGTTCCGTAGCGCGTACCCTTGGCACGTCCCGCGGTGCGTCCCCATGGCACGTCCCCTGGCACGTCGCCTGGCGCGTCCCTTGGGACGCATTACCGACAACATACAACAGCGGCAGCAAGCAGCACCACGCAGAGGCACGCGCCAGATGCGAGGGGGTCGAGCCCCACGCTGCGATGACACCTCCAGGGGCCCCCACGCGCTTCGCCCCGCAAGTGGACGCAGTCCACGGGTCAGCCCTCGTCTCTCCTACACGGCCGGGGGAAGCGCGTGCGGGACGGCCCGCGCCGCGCCGGGGTCGGCGGGCGGAGCGGCGGCGCGGAGGTCCGAGGGGGAGCAGCTGCCAAACCACCATTTGCCCTCCATTTCCAGGAGGAGGAGGAGGAGGAGGAGGAGGAGGAGGAGGAGCAGGAGGAGCAGGAGGAGGAGGAGGAGGAGGAGGAGGAGGAGGAGGAGGAGGGGATCAAGCATCCCAAATCGAACTCGGCGGGCCCCTGGCGCGGCCTCGGCGGGCCCTTGGTGCCCCTCGCGCGGCCCGGCGTGCCTCCGGGCGGCTCGAGCACGCTTCGGGGACGCCTTCCGGGAGCGCCGAGATCGGGCCACGAGCCCCAACAAGAACCATGGCCCCAAGACGGCCCCAGAGGCCATCCAGACCGCTCGCGGCGGCCAAGAGTCATTGATTTGTTCAACCTGTTTTTTGCTCGATTTCGAGGTTCTCGGCGATTTCGAGCCAAGAGTGGCCCATGACAGCTAGTGGGGCCTCCCACCCCGCACGCTCTAAGGCCGCCCAACAGCTCCAGAAAGGGCCCGAAGACGGCTCAGGAGGGCTCCAAGACGGCTCCCGGAGGAGCTCAAGACGGCCCAAGAGAGCCCCCAGGAGCCCCTAAACGGGCCCCAAGAGCCGTCCAAGAGGGCTCACGGAGGGTTTCGAGACAGCCCAAGCGCCCCAACATGGCTCGAAGACGGTCCAAGAGGCCGTCTAGACGGCTCGCGGCGGCCAAAAATAAAGGATTTTCAATTGTTTTTGTTTGATTTTCAGGTTCTAGAGATTTCGAGCTCAGAGCGGCCCAAGACGGCTCCCGGGCTCCCCCCCCTCAATGGAAGTAGCGCGAATCCAATCAATCAGTGATAGAGGGGATGACCAAACATCAATGAGATGTACGTGCTAATGTTTATCCGTTGCGACACGACTGCAGTGATCGTCTGAACACCGTCTGCTACAAGCGACTCCGTGCAAGGCAGTCGCAACGGAGGCTGGAACCGGAAACGCTTCGGAAGAAGGGCAGGCAGAGAACAGTCAGGACAGTCGTGGCATCAAGCCTTTACCTTGGCTGGGGCACGACGGTGACCCGCCAAGAGACGGGGTGGGGGGACCTAGACATCTTCCGGAATCCCCCCCAGCTCTGCGACTTTACGCAAAGTCACGTAAGCACAGACCACATGCAAGTTGCCACCGCGGTGGGCGGAACGCTTTCCTCCACGCGTGCGAGGCGAGTCAGACATGGCGATGGCAAGGCTCCTTGCGGGAAGTGGTGGCGGCGAGCGTGCTTCCGACAGCGCTAAATCGAAGCTCCGAGGCTTGCCCGTGGCATGTGATGCCCCCCTCTCGGGCACACCGCGCGGCAGCGGCGCTCGTCCCGAGGGGGAAGGGCAGGGCTCCGAGCCTGGCTGCGGACGCTGAGGATGAGGCGTGAGCACGTCTGCCGCAGAAGGTCCAGACAGGCCCACGCCACGCCGAGGGGCCAGGGTAGGGGGCCACGTGCGAACCCTACCCCTAACCCCCCACGACTTCTGAGGGGGAGGGTGGGGTTCACTTCGTTTTCGGGAGCTCCCGAGCGAAGTGAACCCCACCCCCTCCCCCTCAGAAATCGTGGGGGGGCAGTTGGTAGGGTTCGCCCGTGGCCCCCTACACTGGCGAATCGACTCGGCAGGGCCAGGGTGGGGGGCCCATCGGCCTCCAGTGTAGGAGGAGGAGGAGGAGGAGGAGGAGGAGGAGGAGGAGGAGGAGGAGGAGGAGAGGAGGAGGAGGGGAGGAGGAGGAGGAGGAGGAGGAGGAGGAGGGGTCGTGCACAGATGCGGCCCAACGCCTTCGGAGGCCTGCAGGGGCGAGACCGCACCGACGGCACGACAGCACGTCCGCCAGCACCAAGGAAGCAGCACGGACTGCGCTGTCCTGTGCGGCCCGCCATCTTCCTCTCCTTCCTCCTCCTCCTCCTCCTCCTCCTCCTCCTCCTCCTCCTCCTCTTCCTTCTCCTCCTCCTCATCCTCCTCCTCCTCCGCCTGCGCTCTCTGCAAGCACGCTCTCAGTACGATGGCGTATCCCCTCACTCGGCCAATGAGCTCTGACCGTTGCTTCGCCATCGCATGCTTGTTAAACGCACCCGTGGAAAAGGTTCCAACGAATGTTGATTCACCATGTCCTCGTCCCCGCTGCGCGCGAAATCCAAGTTCTGGTGTAAATCAGATACCAAGGGCTCCAGAGCGTCCCCCCCACGAGTCTCCATGGCTCCAGAGGCTCTGGCAAGGGCCCCCAGACGGCTCAGGAGTGCTACAAGACGGCTCCCAGAGGAGCCCTAAACGGCCCAACAGAGGCCCAAGACGGCGCGAGAGAGCCCCCAGGGGCCTCCCGACGGGCCCCAAGAGCCGCCCAAGAGGCTTCACAGAGAGCTCCGAGACGGACCAACATATGGCTTTTCTCAGAAGGCTGGGCTAAGCCGTCCCCGAAGCACACAGAATATTTCCCAGAAGGCGCGAGGGCTTCTGAGGAGCCCTCTTGCGAGAAGGCCTGCTCCTCTTCACTTCATCCCCGGGCGCGCCGCCGACCCGCCCTCGCCCATTCGAACAGCGCCGACGTCGACAACTCATGCCCGCGCGCACAGAAGGAAATCTCGCTCGCGGAGGGCCAAGATATGGGGCCTATGCCAAATACCGTTCTCACTTCCTAGCTGCCAGCGTCTATGGACACATCGGGTGTCGTTGCGTACATGGACGCGCTCGGGGTGGATCCGTATTATAAACAACGCAGCCGTTGCGCTCGGTGCAGTACAACATCGGAGAAACAAGTGGATCCGTCTACGGTATGTTCATGATCTGAAGTAGGTCCCACATGGGGCGTTCCAAAAAGGGCCGTGCCTTCGAGGATCAAAGGAGCTGTCATCTCTTCCTCGGCGGAAAGCGGCGGAAGGGCGGCGGAAGCCAAACAGGGCCACCTCCGCGGGCGGAAGCCGGCGGAAGGCTGGCAGCAGCACAAGTCGGCCTCCCAGGAGATGGCAACGTTTTTGGGGTTCAGGGCCTTCCGCCATCGGCCACGTGGTACTTTTTTTGATTGGCGGCTCCGAGGACAGATCCTGGAAGCGGGTCGGACACGACTGGGGCACAGAGCGAGATAATTAGCCGCAGGGGCACATAGGCCACTGAAGCGAGTGCACATGCAAGGGACGGCCACATGGTACGCCAAGCCCGCGCGCACCGAAAGCGATCTCGCCCGCAGAATGGGGCGAGCCGGCCGTGCGCGCGACGCGCCCGCAGCACGCGCGCCGAGCGGTGGGCAGGCGCCGCGCTCGCCGGCGGCCCAGAGGCGGCAAGTGACGGCGGCGGATTTTGACGAGGAGCCCGCCCACGGCGGAGGTGGTGGGGGGGGGGACGTGGGAGAGGTGACCGTCAGGAGGAGGAGGAGGAGGAGGAGGAGGAGGAGGAGGAGGGAGGAGGAGGAGGAGGAGGAGGAGGAGGAGGAGGAGGAGGAGGGGGAGGAGGAGGGGGAGGAGGAGGAGGAGGAGGAGGAGGAGGAGGAGGAGGAGGAGGAGGATGAGGAGGAGGAGGAGGGTGAGGAGGAATCATGTGGAAGTGGAGGAATAATAACAGTGCTATTCATAATAATAAGAAGAATCATAATCTGATTAACAATAGTAGTGATGAGACTCAGAAGAAGAAGAATACGGATAATCTGGAGGAGGAGGAGGAGGAGGAAGGATGGCAGGAAAGGGCGTGGAGGGCTAGAAGGAGGAGGAGGAGGAGGAGGAGGAGGAGGAGAAGGAGGAGTTGGAGCGTGCAGCATCAGCCTGAGGGGAGGGCGAGGAGCGAGTGGGACGGGGAGCCACGCGCGGGCTCCCCTCGAGGCCGTTTCCGCCGGCGCCCCCCGCCGCTGCGGACTTCATGCTGTCTGCCGTGGGCACTGCTCGAAGCGGGCAGCGCAGTGGACTCCTCCTCCTCCTCCCCCTCCTCCTCCTCCTCCCTCCTCCCTCCTCCTCTCCTCCTCCTCCTCCTCCTCCTCCTCCTCCTCCTCCCTCCTCCTCCTACTCCTCCTCCTCCTCCTCCTCCTCCTCCTCCTCCTCCTCCTCCTCCTCCTCCTCCTCCTCTCTCCTCCCTCCTCCCTCCTCCTTCCTCCATCATCCCTCCTCCCTCCTCCCTCCTCCCTCCTCCCTCAGTGGACTCCTCATCAGGGCTCGAGCTAAACGGTGTTTTGGCAATTTCGTGGGCCGTTTTCGTTCTGACCTCGTTTTGCAGCAGATGTGGAACGAAGACAGAACTGGGGATGGCGAAAACAAGACGAAAAGGGAAAACACTGTTTAACTCGAGCCCTGCTCCTTATACAGTGGGGGCGTTCGTTGAGGACTGTGCCCAGGAGGCTTCAGACCCTGCAGGGTTCCGTATCTGACGAGAACGGCGGAGGTACCCATGGTATGTTCAGTTCACGATGGGAGCCCCACGGGCTTCCAGACCCTGGAGTATTTATCCAATGGTTCTTTGCTCAATGCCCTCACCGTGCTGCCGCGGCGTCTCACCCCAGCGGAGCAGAGGCCAGAGAGGGCCCCTGGACGGTCAGTGGGCACCAGCTCGTGCAAGCGCGCGTTCTCGGACAGGATCCGGAGGTCATGCTTGCGCGCGTGCGCTGTTTCATGCGCCTACTGCTGGCAGCCGAGGTGCGCTGCCCGTGGTCTCGCCAGGCCCTGCTCTGGAGCGGAGGTTCGCTCCAGGAGACGTTCGAGGGCCCAGGCCCGCGAAGACGTCGCCAAGGGAGCGGTGCCCAGGGGGCGGCAAACGGGGCAGCTCCGTGCGCCGGCGTCGCCTTCGGCGCAGACCTCGCGCGCGCAGGGGGCGCGCGCCCTCGGAGTCGCGGCGGGCCCCCAGTCCAGCAGGCTGGCGGCCGCCCTCCTCCTCCTCCTCCTCCTCCTCCTCCTCCTCCTCCTCCTCCTCCTCCGCCTCCTCCTCCTCCTCCTCCTCCTCCTCCTCCTCCTCCTCCTCCTCCTCCCCACAGCGACCCCGACGGGCTCGACAACCCCAGTCCCCCAGTTCAGGAGGGAACGAAAAGACACAGACACGATGAGTCGTCGAGCCACCAGGAGATATAGGAAGACACATGGGAAGTGTGTGGGGGGAGACAAAAGCCCCGAGCAAGTATGGGCAAACATGGGGAGAATCCTGCCATTCGCGTGTGTCTTCGTTTGTGTGCCCCGGGGCCCCTTCCCCAGTCTCCGAGGAGGCAGCGGGCCCAGCTGCGGACAGCAGGCCCCGATTCTGCCCAGGCATCGGCGGAGTGCCGGCGTCGCACGGTCTCGACTCGCCCGCGGCGGCCATGGCGCGAGGCCGCGAGGCGATCGCCAGCACTTGGCATCGCTCGGACGTGTGCGTTTTTTCTCGGCGAGAACCAAGGAGGAGGAGGAGGAGGAGGAGGAGGAGGAGGAGGAGGAGGAGGAGGAGGAGGAGGAGGAGGAGGAGGAGGAGGAGGAGGAGGAGGAGGAGGAGGAGGAGGAGGAGGAGGAGGAGGACGAGGAGGACACGCACGGAACCGAAAAGTGCACGGGAAGTGGACGCCCGAGCGACGGCAGGAGCAGGGCCGAGGGAGCCGCCGGCGCGGCACGGGCGAAGGGCGGCCTTTTGGCTCCGCTGTCCCTCTGCGCTCGAGTGCCCGGCCTCGGTGGGGCACGCGGAGAGCCCGAGGAATGCCCTCACCGCAGCAGCTTGAGGCTATGCGCACCGCTCGCAGCTTGAAGCCATTTTTTGGGGGGGAAGCAGGAGAAGAAACACCCAGGAGGGGGAAGAAACACACAGACACAATCAATCGTCGGTCCCCAAGAAAATATGGGAAAATATGAGAAGTGGGGGGGAAGACAAAAACACAGAACAGATGGGAAAACACAGGGGGAATCTGGTTATTTGTGTGTGTGTGTGTTTATTTGTGTGTCCCTGGGCCTCTGTAAGCACTGAATACACATGCATGTTCGACGGCCCGCGCGATTTTTGTTGCATCGGCGCTGGGCCTCCCCGGCGGGCGCCTCCAGGGCCACCCTTGGCGCGCTCCGCGCGCCGGGGAGGGGGGGTGCAGCGCAGGTGGAAGAAGTCCACCCGAACCTCCAAAAGTTTGCGTACTCCAGTTTTCGTAATAAAGGGAGGGGGGTCTCTTTTCGGGGGGGGGTCTCTTCCAGGCTGTCTTGGAGGGCCGGGGGGGTCTGGGGACGATGTTTTGGAGGGTTCTCCCACGGGGGAGGTCTGGAATGGCTTGTCTTGGAGGGTCCAGACCCCCTCCCTTTTATTACGAGTTCTGGGGTAGATGTATTC